ACCGGTTCCCGCTCACTGGCTGAGTGAGGCGCGGGAGCAACACCGAGGGTTGCGATCCCGTTGCTGGTCCCGGTCCGGTACGGGGGCGACACTGAGGGTTTCGATCCGTTGCCGGACACGGAAAAAGACAAAAAAAAAAAAAAAAAAAATTTCCTTTACTACTTTTCAAATGTCTTGAGAAGTACTTTCCTGATAATCACATGTTGAAGAAAAGGGAATAAAATGAATTTGGAAGTGTGCTGGGTGTGAATCTTACATCTTTCTCTTGAACACGAATAAAAATAATTAGCTTGTGGTACTTAAGCACTGAAAAACTAGTACAGATCATAATGGATATTAGGAAAAAAGCCTTATTTCTTGGTCTTTTACAGGCTTTGGAATGCAGTGTTTGAAAACATCTAAAGAAAAGTAATAAGAACATAACTATGTAACAAATCTATTACATAATACATCCATGTTAACTAAATAAGTCTGACTTTAAAGAATCTTTCACTGGTTAGCACAGTCAGTTAGAGTGCAGTATTGTAACACCCAGGTCAAGGGTTTGGATCCACCTAACAGCCAAAGGAGAGTCTTTGGACATTCTTAGTGAACTGCTACAACATATAGTAATTTTCCATGGAAGAAACATTAAATACAGATTTTTCAAAAATAACCCCATAAAATACATTAGTGAATGCCACTATATGGGGGATTTTTCCAGGACTGAATATTCCTGCAATAGAGATCTACTTGCTGAAGATTCATTTATGAAACTGAATTCACTGATACGCAAGCCTCTGAAAGTATAACTCCATGAAGAACAAATGATATAAGGTTTTTAAAAGCCCCTTCTAAATTTTTTAAGTAAAAAATATAATAGTAACATATGGTGTTTTCATCATCACTGAATGGATTTCTTGGGATCAATGAATCCTTTCTTAAATAAAAATGTGCCATAGTGGACCAAAAAAGATTATGTTTTTAAACACCCTTAGGAATAACCTAGAGCAGTTTTTTCCAATTCCAGACTTCCTAGGTTTCTTAAGGGAAGACCCAGATAATGGGCTAGGGGTAGAGGTTAGGAGAATAGGCTCCCCATGCTTATTCCATGCCACCCTCAGATCAGCTATATTTTCATGGCTTTATATAGAGGGGGTTTTGTGTAAGATTTGTTTCGGGTACTAAGTTTTGCATCCAAAATAATACATATGTTTTTAAAAAGTCAAAGAACAAAAAAAAATCTGTTGTCTGTATTCTGTGGAATGTCACATATCAGTAGCAAGCTGTACTTTGCTTGGAGTCAAAATGTATTGCTTAGAAGTGCATCTCTGAAGGTACTCAGTTAATGATATATGATATGTTTTATGAAAAGTTCGATTTTTTCAGAATTTTATGTCCATGTTTATGTGATATGTATGACCACTGTGTCTAATGATGCTATAAAATTTTTATAAGATTTTAAGTTACTTTTATGAAAAATAGCTACAATACGGGCCGGCCTGTGGCTCACTCGGTAGAGTGAGGTGCTGAAAAATAGCTACAATACACAGTAAGGATTAAACAAGTTTAATTACATTTTTTTTTTTTTTTCAAGGAAACATACTAACTCAGTGGATCCAACTTCTCATCTTTAAGACCTGGTAAAAGGCAGGACAAAGATTCTGCTTATTTATCGAGTAATAGACACACAGTAAACTAACAATGGAACTAGCTCAAAATAAGATAATTATTTCTGAAGGCTGCTGAATGCCTCAAGTGAAATGATCTAGGTCAGATGAGATTTCAATCTAATTTTAGTTCTAGAAAATGCAACTCATGATGATCCTATTATCCCAGCTAGCTTTAGGCAAAAATTGGTTTCATTTTGTGAGAAAAAGCAAACACAATATAAGTGTCAAGTGTAACAAGTCTTCAGTTTAGAGACTCGATTTGGTCTTATCTAAATGGTAGGACCATTTCTCAGTGACAATAGCTACCAACCTCGTTATAAACTTCTTGGCACTATGATTAGGTACACAATAATTGCCCATTTTGAGTGTTTTAATCAAGCACCAACTGAGATGCAGAGGCAGAGCATTGGGCAAGCATTAGTGTTTGCTATCCTAAGTTTGAATTTCATCATGTAAGAACCCCTGCTACTTTAAACATTCAACTTTGAATCCTTCCCAAATATAGAAGCATTGAAGGGAAGCATCTCAATTTCATTCCTAATAAATGAGCTGCTGGGATGAGGATGACATCAGTTATACCTCTTGAAAAGTATCCTCAGATTAGAATCTATTTTTACAATTGTTTAAATATAAGAATGAAAATATGGACAGAAGATCTATGAAGGCCAAGTTCAGACTAGAGCAGTCATTCAGAAATTAAGTAATTAGAAACCAAAAACCAAATTTTACCTGCCTACCACTTTCAGAAAGTAGGCAGGTATCAGCAGTTAAGTCCCAGAAAGGGGAAAACAAATACAAACACGACAATGGGAGTTGAACTGTATGGCAACAGTGATTAGAAATGGAGCAGTGCCCTAACAGTTCTACTCCTTTGAAGCACTAAGAGTGCTAGAGAAAGATAGAAAGAAAATACACTAGCAGTTGAATGGCATTTACCCCAGTTATCTTCAATTTGCAAGGCCTAATTGCAGACTTCAATTCCACACTGAACCCCTAGAGCCTGATGTTTGCAACATTTAAAAAATGAAGTCAAAAACAAATTAATCATTTTGAAACTAAGAACACAGGTAGTTAAATAGCAAGTAAAAAAGAAACTTATTTTTGTGACTAGGAAATAAGTGTTGAGCTTTGCAGTTATTTGAGCATTTAAGAGAGAAAATGAGATGCTCTGCAACTGAGAAGACAGACACTTTGGGGGCAATGCCAGACTCACCTCTCGAAATTAGATCATGTTCACAATTTTCCATTTTAAATGCTGAAGCATTAACATGCAAAAATAATTCTTAACACTGTTAGTCGGAAAGTCAAAATACCGTTGCTAACCAGATTCATTATTAAAAATCAACAAGTGTTAGGTCTAGGATTTTGGATTGATTGATTATATCATATTCCCAACACCAAATGTTTATTTTGGAAAAGGGTTAATGAATGAGTAAAAAAGATGCAGTTGTTAAAAATGACCCAAAATCCCAAGAGAAATGATATAATATACACACATATATGTATATACAAATACATATACATATATATGAACAAGGACATTTGGGTTTAAAGTTAGTAGTCAAATTTTCCAAGGACGTCTTTTTTTTTTTAAACATAGAGCCAAATTTTTATGTATTTTAAAAACCACCTCCTTGATCTAACACTGTTAGAAATGAATAAATTACCCAATTTTGTATTCAATTTTTTCCCTGTAACGTCACTTGGTTCTTGGCTACTAACCTTTCATGTTACTCTTGGTTTTGTCAGTTTGCTTGCCTGTGGGGGTTTGGGCCTGCTGACCCTGCCCACTGGAAGAGGCTGCTTGCTGTGCTGCTTTCTGCTTTAACATTGTCCAATCAAATGTGTAGTCATATTGATGATTCAGAGTTCTGAAAAATATAAAATTATCTATATTAATCCTTTAATAATAGAGTCTAGTTAAATACCCTACTGGACTTTTCAAGACAGTGAGGACATTTCTTTAGAACACAAATGTTTCCTCTTAAGTGTGGTAACTTCCAAAAGATTTCTCTCCCTTAAATGATTTTTTTTAAACTGTTCAGAGAAATAATTCCATTTTTTACATGTCACGATTCAGGGGAAAAAAAGATATAACTACTCTGCTTTGCTGTATTAGATAAAAATACATCCTCTCCCTTTTCAAATTGAAGCTGCCTGTAAACTTCCTTGAAAGGGGTAAGTTGAGTGGGAATGAAAAGGCAGTACGAAAAACTAAAACACTGAGTCAAACTGTCAATTACCTAGGGGGCGTTTAGGAGGTACTTTCTTGAATAGCGGGTACTTCCTACAAACAAACACGAGTAGGGATAGAACTATAAGTTTGTGAGAAAGATGTCTGTGCTGGTGCCTTGGGAAGACCTCAATTCTTATTTTCTTCCAGCAGAGTTTGAGCCACATGTACTCTATTCCTCCCTGCCTCACCCCCTGTTCAAGATCAGTTCTGGGTGGTGCCTAAGGAACCCTAGTTTGGGACTGCCTCCACACCATCAAACTCCATGACTATGTGATATTTTAATTACTTTTTTGATATTGAATAGGATTCTGTAACAAAGCTGGAGAGTTCCAGGGGACACTGACAGCCACTTATCTCCAATATAAATTGCAATTAGTTTGGAAAAATTAGATTCTACTTTGAGTTTGATTCAACTATCTCTCGACCCTAAACTAAAATCACCTCAAGTTTATTTGTACTGCAAATGAGAAAATGCCAAATTATTCCGAAAGAATTCACATTTTCTCAAAACTTTTATTCATACTGGTTAGGCCTGCTTTACTTTAGTTTACTACTTATCAGAATAGATATGCTAGATGAATTTAACCAATACTCCTCACTAGAATTTATTGTCTTAAAAATACCTTAAAAACTGACCTGAAAAGAATGCGGAATAGCTGCCTCAGATACATGTAATCAGGGGCTTCTTCAAAGCGCAGCCCACGGCAATAGTTTAAGTACATGGCAAATTCTGCAGGAAACCCCTATAAATTAAAACATAGTAAAAAAACAAAAATCTTATTTTAAGATAGGAAAATAACGCAACCAAGAAAATGTATTTGAGTAGGGTGTTTTGCTACTTTGTAGGAAAACATAAAAATTAAAATAATTATGACTTGAGGTTTCCTCATAAATTTGAACAAAATTTCACCATCCTACTCCCCCCATTATATATAACATCTTTTTACACTGCTAGAGGAAGCATGTATCCTTTTCCTACAATCAATACTGTGTTTTTAAATAAATAATTCAGATATCCCACTTGTTAATTTATTATATCATTTTATCAATGTCTAATAAATTTGATAGCAATGACCAACAAATGCCAAAATGGAAGCCAGTAATGGTTCTTTGTCAGAACAAGACAATGAATGGGCACTTTCTCCCCACCCTCTGAAGTTGATAATTTCTTTTTGGGGGGCAGCTGGCCAGTCTAGTCCCTGACCTTGGTGTTATAACGCTATGCTCTAACCAAATGAGCTAACCACCCAACCCATTTTTTTTTTTTTTTACAATAGTAGTATATAACTATTTAAACAAAGTGTAACCTACAAAGCAACCACTATTAACATTTGTGACACATGACAATCCAATGCTCTTGCTATGAATATATTGGGTTTTTCTTTTCTTTTTTTGTGTAACTGTTATCATATTGTATACATAATATATTCTGGTTTTTTCCATTAACATTACATTCTAAGCACCCTTCCATCTTATTTCCCAGCTCTTCATACACTTCTAAATGGCTACATAATATTCTACCTAGTAAATACGCCATAGTGAACTTGTTCCCTATAAAAGAACATTTAGGTGGATTCTGATTTTTCTTTATTATTAATAATAATCCTGCTAATCATATCTGTGGGCATAAACTTTTTGTAGTTTCTTAGGAAAGATTCTCAAAGACATATGTAAACATATTAAAGGCTCTAGATATTAGCCACTGAAAAGATTTTGACATCAGCAATGTAGAAAATGCAAACATAGCACAAACTCCTCCCCCAGAGTAAATGCAAATGTGAAGGGAGGTAAGTTAAAGGAGGCAGTCTCTTCCCACAACCTTACTATTTTGACAAATTGCTCACATCCAGGAGTCAAGGCAGTATATAACAGATATCCTTGTTACATTTGTTATTGATTATACTGATGTAAACAGATCTAACCTCTGTATATGAGCACCCGAAACTGAAGTAATGAATGTTATACATTTTTGTTTTTTCAGCTCTTAACAGGATTTTTACATTTACTACATACATTCATGGTCTGTGTTAATGGTAAACAGCATGACCACGAGACTGAAAACAATCTCACTACTTTACAGTAATACCTCATACTTCTTTCTTCCTGTGTTGACTCCACACTGAATCAACTACTTGTGGCTAATCCAGAAAGACTAATATAGCCCAATTTCTAGATCAAAGTTTTAAGAAGTCCACAAGCAGAGAATGTACTAAATCCCCCTTTCTCTTCCTGTAAAAATGGCTGGCTATTCCAGGAAGTCAAATGCATCTTTCTCTTGCATGGAAATAGTACTATACAGAAATTATGATGTTTTGCTTCCTGAAGTGTACAGATTTAAAAAAGTTATTTGTGCAGGGCATACATGCAAACATTTTACTCACTAACCTAAAATGTATTCATAATTTAGAACAAATCCCAATGAGTTCTAGAAAAGATCTCTCACACATCCCCTCGTTATTATAGATACGTAGAAAACAGAAAAGCAAATTTGTGGATGGGGAAATACATTAAGGACATCTCCATTTTCCCCCTTCCACAAAGTACTATCTTAACTCTTGATGATTTCTACCTCTTATCACTCAATTATTTAATTGCATACTGTTTTCTAATTAATTTCAGGTATGCAATTCTTGTCTCAAAGATGACCATATGGGCCAGCCCGGTGGCGCACTGCTACAGTGTGCTGCTTGGGAGTGCGGTGGCGCTCCCGCCGAGGGTTCGGATCCCACATACAGACCGGTTCCCGCTCACTGGCTGAGCGAGGTGCGGGCGCAGCACCGAGGGTTGCGATCCCGTTGCCAGTCCCGGTCCGGTCCGGGCGCAACACTGAGGGTTGCGATCCATTGCCGGACACGAAAAAAGACAAAAAAGGAAAAAAATAAAATAAAATAAAATAAAGATGACCATATGGTCTTCTTTCTATGAAAGAGACCATGGTTATTCATCATGACACACATATCTCTGTATAAACTCACTTGCCTTTCTAACAAGTTTGAGATTTCAGAGAAATGAGCCTGATTCAAACTGTCTTCTATATATCCCTATTGCTGGACAGTTGTTATGTTGGACTGCTCCTATGTATATGCCAGTTTCCCTATTCCTAGATGTACCAATTGCAAATATCCTTTTTTTGGCCTCAGTTTAGGAATAAGAAGAATATTTCTTAATTTTTCTCCACAGATTGATGAAATTCTACTGGGAATGTCTATCTGCCCTGTTAATTTTCCTCCACTTTTTAACAGATTAAAGAGCCTAAACAAACTAGAAACATAAAACAAAGCATTTAAAGTGACTCATGTTCGAGCCATTTTTTAAAGTAAAGACATTTAGAATATTAAAATGGTAACTAATTACCTAATATGATGTTTAAGTTCTAGGGCCAGCAAGTACAGTTTTTGTTCTTGGATCATTTACATTTTTAAACTATACTTATCATGCATACTTACCTTACATAAAACTTCAACAGGAGTGGACATCTTCTTTTCACTAATCTTTTCATATTTTTGTTTCTTTGTTGCAGCCTGTGGAAAAGAATCAAATTACAAAAATATACTAAATACTACTGAGAAGAAACTTGGTAGTTTAAAACATATACAAAAAAAGTTTCCATCATTTAGTGACATTTATAAACTTGAGTTAATTGTATAAGTCACAATCTTTTTCCAATGTAAAAATATTCATATTAGGTAAAGCTACCCATATAAAAAGTGAGTACTTTAGCTCACAGCCTCTCAATAAATACGGGTAACTTTTTCCTATAAAGGACCAATAAAGTATCAAAAAAGCCATTAAATTCTAGGACAGTGATTTACCACTAACACACACTCACAAAAGTAATTGTGAAACACCTAGTTAATAGAAACAAAATAAAATGTTAGGATAATTACATAAATAACTAGTATTGTTGGACAGTTTTACTGTACATAAAAAATATACACTTTCAACATAATAGCCACACACATGAAAATGAGTAAGTCTCCACCTGTCTTAACCCATGTCAACTTTCATCTATATAAAGCGAGTGGTTACCAGTGGGTATCAGCCCATTGTCTCAAAAGAAAAGAGTTCTTCACCTGTGTAGTGGCTTTCTATTAACTAAGTTCTTACTAAAATGATCAGGTCTAATTTTTCCAAGTAAAAGATAAAAAGTAAATTAAAGTTAGTTCAATCTCAGAAAAATCTCAAATTTGGAAGGGACCTTAAGGTCCCTTCCCCTCGAATACATATTTTTATTCTTGGGAGGGATGAAGAGAGAGAGAAAGAAAGAAAAAAGAAAAGGGAGGGAGGAAGGGAAGGAAGGGAAGGGAGGGAGGGAGGGAGGGNAGTGAGCCACGGGCCGGCCCACAGCAGGCTTTTTAAAAAATAGAAATTGACAAGTTGTACCAGCCAGCCACCAAAAAAAGAAAAGAAAGAAAGAAATTGATAAACTGATTCTTAAAAATTATGTGTAAGTGCAAAGGACCAAAACAACTTTGGAAAAGAACAAGCTTAGAGGTCTTAACAATACCTGACTTTAAGTGTTACTATAAAGTTACTGTAATAAAGATAGTGTAGTACTAGCATAAGAATAGACAAATTGATAAATAGAGCTGAATAGAGGATCCAGGAATAGAACCACCCCTATATGGTCAATTGATTTTCAATCAAAGCTTCAAAGCAATGCAATGGAGGAAAAGAAAGTTTTTCAACCAGTGATGCTGGAACAATTGGTTATCCATATGGATATATATATATATTTTTTATTTGTTTTCTTCCCTCTCTTATCCCCTTATGATATAACATAAGATGTATTGACTTTACCTCATAATATTTAAATCATGGGTTATTAAGAGAAGAGTAAACATCACCCAAGGACTTTCATACTCTTCTGGAGGAAGAGTTAATGCATTTTTTTGGTTGTATGCAGGAAAATTGTATAACATTAGGTGGAAGTATGACCTTGTTATTTTCTTTATACAGAAATTAAGTATGATTTAAGGAGATGTATGTGGTTGCCAAGTTGACAAGAGATGGACTTGTGATGGTTAATGTGCCAATTTGGCTGGGCTACAGTTTCCAGATTTTTGCTCAAACATTCTGGGTGCTTCTGTGAAAGTGTTTTTTGGATGAGATTAACATTTAAATCAGTGGACTTTGAGTAAAGCAGATTACCTTCCATAATGTGTAATTCAATCAGTTGAAGGCCTTAATAGAACAAAGACTGACCTCTCCCAAATAAGAAGGATTTCTGTCCACTGAATGCCTTTGGACTCAAACTACCACTTTTCCCTGAGTCTCCAGCAGGCCTACGCTGCAGATTTTGAATTTACCAAGTCTGCACAATCGCGTGAGCCAGTTCCTTAAAATAAATATCTCTCTGTGTGTATATATACACATCCTGTCGGTTCTCTTTCTCTGCAGAACTCTGACTAATACATTCTCTTACTTCTTTCAGGTCACTGCTAAAATGTTCTCTCCTTAGAAACACTTTTCTTGACCAAATTATTTAAAATAGACCCTTACCCTAACCCCTCACCCTACCCGGTTACTCTTCAAATCTTTATACTGTTTTATTTTCCTTCATAGCACTTATTAGTATCTAAAATTATATACGAGGATACTACAAAAATTTCATAAATGTTCATATTACCTTTTCATTTTATTTTTTCATCAACTTTTTGAAGTACCCTCACACACACACACACACACACATACTTTTTACTCTTTTATTGACTTTACCTCCTTCACTAGAATGTTAGCTCAATGAGACAGAAACTTTTTTGTCTTGTTCACTAATGTATCCCCAGAACAGTGCCTACTTCAATATCTATTGAATGACTGAATTATATATATATGCATTATGTATATTCGCCTAAGTACATATTAAGCATGTAGTTCTACCACCTGCTTTTGTCATTTAACAATATATCATATTTATAACATGGACATCTTTACATGTTAATAATACACATAGATTAGGCTTTTTCTTCTTATTGACTGCAAGGTATTTCATTGTGTAGACATACTGGAATTTATTTAACCAGTCTCCTGCTGCAAGTTATTTGGGCTTTTTTTTAACTTTTCACTTAGGTTTTTAAAAGGTCATAATAGACACCCTTATGCAATATCTTTGTGTACATGCGTGTGAATGTCTATAGAATAAATTAATAAAAGTGAAATTTCTGAATTAAAAAGGTTTTATCAATTTACACTCTTACAAATGATTTATATCCTTGCCCACACAATTGCAGATCATTAAATCTGTGGCAACAAGCCCTTGAGACTATATTCCAGGCATTGAATGCATGTTGTGGGAGAGGGAGCTTCCTTTTTTCACTAGACTTTTTTCTTATGCAGTTTCTAGGAAAGTGTTGCATTGGCAGAGGGGACAAACATTGAGAAACCAATGAATAAAAATCAATATCACAATGATTCAAACAATACTTTAAAGGTTACTAGTCAAATATTTTAACTGTAGTTTTACTCAGTGGTGTGAAACCAGACTAAAACATAGCAGTTGAAGGGGACTATTTACCAGGAAGTTTGATAAAAGGCCGGGCCTCCTCAAGTTTAATCTGACAGCTCCACTCAGTCCTTTTTTTGCTGGTTTGCCTGTCTTTGCCTGCCCTTGGGTTGGGTTCACTCTCCTTGTGTCCTCAGCCCTCTTTCCATGCCCTTCCTGCCTTCCCAGGGGGATCTCATTTATCCTTATGGCTTCATGTAAAGAGGATGTGCCAGTGACTTCCTAATTTATACTGCCAATCCAAACTTCCCTCTCCCAGAACTTTACATCCATCTTTCCACTGGACACCTTCACTTGGATAAGCCACGGTATCAGCTGGCCCAAAACTGATCTCATTACTTTCCCCCAAACCTGTTCCTTCTCTAGGATGCCTTTTCTTTAGTGAAGGCTACCACCATACAACTAATTGCCCAAGACAGAAATCTCAGAATCAACCTAAGCCCTCCCTCCCCTCACATCCTGAGGTCACCATGTTCTATAGATATTACTTGAACATTTTACTCTTACCTTCCCTCTTCTACTTCACTATTACTGTAGCCTTAACCTGAGGCCTTTTATCTCTCCTCTAGCTGAATACTACAACTTCCTATCTGGTCTCCCAGCTTCAGCCATATATCTTCCCAGGATGCATTGTTCTAGAATTCAAATTATATTATGCTGTCGTATCCTTCAATGGCTCCCTCATTGCTACAGATAAAGTTCAAATTCCTTCGTGTGGCATACCTGCCTTCCATGAACTGGCACCTGATTACCTCCCCAGTCTTATCTGTCAGTGCACAGTCCAAAGTATGTCATGCCAGTTATAATGGAGTGATTGCAGTTTCTGAAAAGGTAGTTTCATATTCTTATGCCTTTTCACGAATTGCTTCCTGTCTGGCGTAACTTTCCATCTGCCTGGTAAGAATTCTGTCTTTAAAGACTCAGTAGGAAAGGTCACCTTATCTTTGGCTTCCCAACCTCCCTGTAGAATTGCGCACTTCCTCCTATAGCAGACACTGTTGGCTATTTAACTAGGACCCCCTTGCCCCTACCTGGTCCTCTTTCCAACAAGACCCCAATTTTGTTAAGGCTACATGATCATATGCTTCAGGGAGGTTGGCCCTGTGTTGGGTCCTTATTCATCTAAGCCAGTCAGCAATTGATTTAGGTTTGGACATGAGATACTATTCTAGTCAATGAGACAGGAGGAAAGGTCTTATGGAGAGCTTTTTTGAAGGGCTTCTCTTTTGAAGAGACGCAAAGGTAGAGATGGTCTGTTCTACTGGACTAATTGTAGTTTTGGATAAGCTGGATTTGTGTCACTGCAACCAGAGGATTACTGACTAATACAAGGAGTATGGTAAAAGAAAAGCAAGTTCCCCCAAAATGGGCTAAAGAATCATAATGGTAACAGGTTAAAGCCAATCGCTGGAACTGAGGCACTTATTCAGTGATGATGTCCCAGCAAAGTAGACTTGATAGTGAATCTCCTATGCTTCAAAGCTAAGGCTACACATGTTTCTGCAGATTAAGAACAGGACTGTTTCAGAGCTCAGGGCTGAGTCTGTGTGGGCAGATTGTGGCCTTGCCTGTGAGAAGAGGGAGCCAGAAAACCTAATAGGGAGGAGAGAATAGCTCTGTCTGTAAAGAAGGGTTATTATACCTGTGAAGAGCCAAGAACCTAGATGGAAGCTGTTGGAAGCAAGGAAGAGGAAGAAACAGAAGAGATACTAAGTGGTGTTTTCCAATATAAATTATAAAACCGGCCCAGAGGGGGTATGACACGCTGGAAGAAATGCAGGCTTTGAAGTTACACTGCTGAGGTTTCAGTCCCAATTCTGGTCCTGCCACTTAGTACTTGTGTGATGATGGGCAAGTTATTTTCATCACTCCAGCCTCAGTTTCTCTCTCTAAAATGAGAGCAACAACAATCACACCCATCTCTTAGAAAAGTTGTGAATGAGATAAATGAGACAATACAAGTAAAATGTTTAGTATAGTACCTGGCACTTAGTAAGCAACACTACTACTACTGGCAGTAATAATAAATAAACTCTAATCATGAGAATAAGAATAAAGATTAGAACTGGCAGTATTA